AACGGCCTGGGACCGAAACCGACGGACCTGGACCCGCGAAAATGACGGCCGCGACGCCCTCTCGCGAACGGAAAACGGCCAATTCCTCAATCGACGTGTCAGGGCAGGAGGTCTATCCACCTGCGAATCGTAGGGCACCCTCCCCGAACCGACATATCGATCCTGTGCCTCGCTCCGGGCAGACTCCCCCGACCTCTCCCAGGGCGCGCCCTGGCCAGGGACCTCGGGGCGAACCCCGCCGCGTGGCCACGGGGGCCTCCCATGGAGGCCCGGCAGGGCGACAAAAGCGAGGCAGCAGTGGAGGAGGAGGAGGAGGAGGAGGAGGAGGAGGAGGAAAAGGAGGAGGAGGAGGGGGAGGAGGAGGAGGAGGAGGAGGAGGAGGAGGAGGAGGAGGAGCAGTGGAGGAGGAGGAGGAGGAGGAGGAGGAGGAGGAGGAGGAGGAGGAGGAGGAGCACCGGGCGACGGGGCCCCCGCGGTCCGCGGCGTACTCCGCCGCGCCCTGCACGTGGGCCTGGGCGTAGACGGCGGCCACGGAGGCGTAGCCGGTGGGCGCCCAGTCGGGCGCCGCGGGCGCGCTGCGGGCCAGGTTCGGGAACTCGCCGACGATGATGCACCCCCCGCCTTCGGGGGCAACTCAGGGGATCCTCCCCGCACCATGGTACTGACTCTCTTCCAGCGGAGCGACGCCCCACCGGCGCCGAGTCGACGCCCCTCGGCGCAAAAGTCCCATCGCAAGGAGCCAGACGCTAGCATCGACATGCGTGCCCTCTCGAGACGGGGCTCCCCTGGTCTGCTCCCGAAGCCGCCGTCGGCCAGGTGGGCAGGCGCCCCGCGCAGGATGCGGGAGGTGATGGCGAGGCCGTCGGGGCCCCCGTCCACGTACAGCGTCGGCGCGCGCTGCGGGCCCACGGGCGCGGCCACAAAGGGCGGGTTGGCCACGACCAGGTGGAAGCCGCTCGGCAGCGGGCCCTCGCCCGGCCCACGGTGGAGGGCGCCGAAGAGGTCGCCCTGCTGGAGGCCTCCCCTGAGATCCTGGCGCTGCAATTTCTTCACAAAGGGCGGTGTCGCCTAGGCTCGGGCCCCAGGGACCCTCACCGATCGATCCGCCTCGAAAGACGACGCAGAAAAAAATGGGGCCCGGGGCTCCGGGGGTGATATGCCGCGATGTGGCCACTTCTTCGCAACGTCGGGCCTCCGGGTCCCGGGCGGGGTCCGAGCAGATGGGGGGTCGGAGGAGTGCACCGCAGCGCCGCTGCGTCTCGGCGACGCCTCGGCTCGGCGCGCTGCATCGGCGAGGCCTCGGCGCGGAGGAGTGCTGGCTCCACGTCGGGGCGCGTCGCCGCTGCGTCTCGGCGACGCGGGGCGATCCTTCGACCCCATCTGGGGCGCACAGGAACATACTAGTACTATATGTCCTCCTTGCAGGCGCGCGTTCGACCCAAAGATATGGCACACCCATCTTGTAGCACATCGCTTCCCGAGCGGTGCGGCCAGAAAGCGCCCGCCACGACGCACATACTATAAGATCTCTCGGCGCGCGCGTCGCCCCATGGGGGGGCGACGCACGCATGATATTAGTATGTCGGGGTGACGCCGACAGAAGGCACCAATATCGCTACGGTCGGACCTAGGGCAGAAGACCATCCGTCAAGAGCAGGAGATCTGCTCCACCAGCCAAGGCACGCAGAGCATTCGAGGGTGCCTGCACATGAGCATCCAACAAGCACGAAGAAGATGAATTAGGGCACCCTCCCCGAACCGACATCGATCTTGTACCTCGGTCCGACCGGACTTGGACCACATGGTATGATATCAGTATGTCGGGGTGACGCCGACCATCTGCTCGGACCCCATCTGGGAGGCCCAGGCCTGCGCCACGTCCACGTGCGGCAGCCCGTTCAGCGCCGCGTTGAGCCTGGCCATCGCGCAGGCCCGCGGGCTGACGTCCTCGCGGGGGCGTCCAAGATCGGGCGTTGGCAGCACCGGGTTGAGTGTTAGGTCGGGCCTCCCCTACAGGCGGATTTAGGCGAAAAAATAAAAATGCTAAAACAAATACCCCGACATAGTCAAAAAATAATCGAAAATGGTCTCCAGACTATGTTTTAACTATTTTTGAATTGCCCTCCTGTAGAGGGATAGACCGTCTAATAGACCCGACTTAAGATTAGTGGGACCTGGTTTAATGATGTGTACTGGGGGACGCCCCCCCCCGCCCCGTTCCACTAACTGGAACTGCCGTCACCCGAAAAAACACCAGCTACGGCAGAGCTAACTGAATGATTCTGGCCGATTTGGCGGCTCCGAGGCCCTACCACTGACCGGGTCCTCTTACCAGGGGTCCTGGCTATACCCGACAAGAGGGGGGCGTCCAAGGGGGGGGGCGCAGATCATGGCCCGCGGCATGTGCGCGGGCCCCGGGGGGGGGGGACTGCAATCAGAAGGGTCTCCATGTATCCACCCCGCCTAGAGCATCACCCCCCTCTTCGGTGGCAACTCATGGGAGCCTCCCATCCCATCTTGTCGGCTCTTGCGAAACGATGCTCATCAGCGCTGAATCGACGCTAAGTCGACGCTAAATCGACGCTAGCCGACGCTACATCGGAGCTAACTGATCGACTCCCAGACGCTATTCGACGCTACTCGACGTTGAAGACGGAATGAACAGGGTTAGGAAGCAACTGCTGGGAGGTCTTCGTCGGAAAGGTTAAGGAGGATTAAGCCCCATTGCGGGGCTGTTACGCCAGAGTGGGCTTCGGATGAAGCGGGATTCAGCCGGATTCGGCGGGATTGAGCCAGATTCAACGGGATCGAGCCGGATGAAGCTGGATTCCGGACCAGGGCAAAATCAGCATTCGACCTCCCAGGAGCTGCATCCGAAGCTAAACACGGCATGAGCAGGGCAGACCCCAGGCTCCCATGATCTGCTGCCGAGCCCCTCTTGGCTTAAGTCGGGCGTGTCCCCCTACAGGGGAAGTTTGGGCGAAAAACTAAAAATACTCAAAAGGTACCCCCAAATGGTCAAAAAATGCTCAAAAATTCGTCCCCAGACTATTTGTTGACTATTTTTGAACATTCCCCCTGTAGAGGGACAGGCCCGACTTAACTCTTGGCCGCCCCCGACGTCCGCGGCCACGACCGGCGAGGCACCGCACCTCGCCGCGTGGAGCGCGGCCACGCCGGAGCCGGTGCAGAGGTCCAGCACGCCGAGGCCCCGGACGAGCGAGCCCGGCCCCGGGCCGTCGCCGAAGGGCGAGGCAGAAAGAGGTCATCAGCTCGAGCTCGGGATCGGCTGCAGGAGTCGCGTGCCTCAGGATAGAGGCCCTCGTCGAGTCTGCACGAGAGGAGACGCAGCAGGCGTCGTGGGTGCGGCGAGCGAGCCGATGCTGAGGCACTCTGCAGCCGATCCCCTGCTCCAGCAACATAAGCCTTCGGAGGTCCGCGCGGATCTCTCGGATCGGCGCTGAGCCCCTCTGGCGGTGCCTCCGGCGCCGGCCCTGGCGCGCTCCGCGAGCCAGGGCGGGAGGTCCAGCGCAGATCCAGGAAATCCACGGGGAGTTCCGAAAGTTGATGTCTGTGCTTATGTTGTTCCCATCGTACTGAAAGACCACATCCCAGCAACAAATATCGAGCACCCGGAAACGTGTCGAAACAGTGTCGAACGAGTATCGCCTCCCAGGGCTCGACACGTGAAACCCCTCCAATTTCGGTACTTTCTGGGTGCTCGAAACTCTTTCTGGTGCTCAAGGCTAAAATAGGTCGGAACATCAAAAGTTGATGCCGTTTTCTTCCTCGAGAAGGAGAGGCAGAGCTCCATGGAGTCGGTGCCGATGGCCATGACGGGATCGCCCTCGGGCCCCACGCTCTCGCTGGGCCAGTCCGTCGCGAGCACCAGGCCCTCGAACGGGAACAGCTGCACCGCCCCCACGCACAGGGTGTCCAGCACCTCCTCGAGCAGCCCGCACCGCAGCAGCGCCTCCGCCGCGCCCGCGCCCAGGGCCTCCTCCACCGCGGCCCTTGGCGTGCCCAGGCCGAGGAGGAACAGGCGGGCGTAGATGGCTCAGCACCACCCGGACGGGCATACCCCATCTCCTTCCATCCTACCGCCCCAGCTTGGGGACATGCCCCTCGTGACCCGAAGGAAGCGGCCTGCATCCCCCAGGCCACGCCCATGGGGACGGCGTTCGGTAAACGATGCTCATTCATCGGTCGGTGGCCTCGGGTCAAAGCGGGGACGCTGGCCGAGGCATGCCGCCGGCGCGCTCCTGCTCCCTGCCCCTGCGCAGGCCCCTGCCGCCTCCCTGCGCGCTGCCGAGGCAGCCGTTGTGCTGGGGTACCCCCGCCACGGTGGTGCTGAGCGGTCGGGGGCGCCGTCACCGGGTCAGCGCACACCCCCCAGGGGTCAGCCGGGGGCCCACCGCGAGACCAGGCTGGCCGCCCACAGTGGCTCCCAAGCCCGGCCCCGCGGAGGCCGGACAGGGAGAATCGGCCCCGCGTGGCCCCCAGACCTGTGGGTCAGCCACAGCGGCTGACCCCCGTCACTGGACCAGGGACCCAACGACACCACCCCTCCCACGGCCCCAGGGGGCCCAGCGTATAATACTAAGAAGCCTGGCGCATGGGCCTGTGCCCGGCACGTCGCCTGCGGCCCTCGCTGGGCCGCAGTCAGCGCCGCAGCACGGGCCGTGGTGCCGCTCGCTTTTTTGGGAGGGGAAACCAAAAGGGTACCGATCCCGCTACTCCCCGGACCTGAATTTCGACGCGAATCAAGGGGTGGCGACGACGGAGACCCGAGAGGACCAAAAAGGGGAAAACGAGGGGAGGGTAGAGGTATGGGTATGATCTTCCTCCTCTGGCTTTTTGGGGTCGCGCTGGCGCCGACCCCCGGCCACGCGAGCCCCGAGATGGTCTGCCCCGCCGTCAGCCCGGTGGCCTCCCCGCCGCCCGCCGCCCACGCGCGCCGCAGCCCGTGCAGCTCCGCCCCCGTCGCCCGCGGCCGCGCGCCCAGCCGCCGCGGCAGCGCGGCGTCGCCGGCGCCCAGGCCGCGCAGCAGCGCGGCCACCGCCGGGGCGCCCGCGGCCTCGAAGTCCACCGCGCCCCGGCAGAGGAGCACCGCGCGCGCCTCCGCGAGCCCGACCTGGGTCTGCTGCACCGAGGGGGTCGAGGGGCACGAAGAAGCACACACACACACACACCCCGGCACAGGAGCACCGCGCGCGCCGCCGCGAGCCCGACCTGGGTCTGCCACGCTGAGGGAGCACCGGAGCACAGGAGCACCGCGCGCCGCCGCGAGCCCGCCCGACCTGGAGCACGCACACACACACACACACAAATCCCAGGATTCCCAGAATGTCTTCCCATCTTTTCGGGGGTCTCGTCTTCCCCCCCCCCACTTCCTATAGTTTCCCATACTTTCCGGGGAATCGACGATGAATTGCGTCTGTATGTTCTTTTCCTCCCCATCACTCGGACGTCCCTTCCCCGTGAGTTCGTCGGTTTCGTGCGTGTATTATGTTGCTGATCCAGGATGCTCCTCGAGGGTCCTCGCTGAGGAAAAAAAGTGCACACGTCCGGGCGATGCCAAGACACTCGGCGGCGAGCCCGGGGGGGAAGTGAGAAGGGGCGGGCCCTCTTAACAGGCTCGGAAGCCCCCCCCCCGGCCTCCTGAGGCTCTTCTGTGAGCCTCGCGCGGCGCACCAGAGCTCGCTCTGGCGAAGGGTCCCTCCTGCGTGAGGAGGAGGAGGAGGAGGAGGAGGAGGAGGAGGAGGAGGAGGAGGAGGAGGAGGAGGAGGGGGGGGCAAGAAGACATCGATGAGAAAGGAGGGGGGATGAGCGGCACGAGGCCCCCCAAACCCCTCCCCGGAGCCCCCCGAGAGCCTTCCGAGGAGAACCCAAGAAGGATCCCTGTGGACTCTGGCGCACGTCGGCGTCGTCGTAGTCGTCATAGTCGTCGTCGTCGTCATCGATGAGAAAGGAGGGAGGATGAGCGGCACGAGGCCCCCCAAACCCCTCCCCGGAGCCCCCCGAGAGCCTTCCGAGGAGAACCCAAGAAGGATCCCTGTGGACTCTGGCGCACGTCGGCGTCGTCGTAGTCGTCATAGTCGTCGTCGTCGTCGTCGTCGTCGTCGTCGTCTTCGCCGCCGCCGTAGTCGTCGTCGTCGTCGTCTTCCTTCAGGGTCGGCGGCATCGGCCGCAAGGCCTTCGCAACAAAGCCTGCTGGGCCGTCCGAGGTCCGATCGGACGTCTTGGGTCGGCACCGGGCCCCCCCTGGCGCTCCAACACAAATCCGCGCGGGCCTCCGAAAGTTCCCCAAACAGTGCTAGCACTTAGAGTTCTTACTTGGCTTAGGGTTCTCAGGGTTCTTACTTGGCTTAGAGTGCTTGGCACTTAGGGTTCTTACCTGGCTAAGCCATCTCGGGGTAAGTGGCGGCTTTTGCGGGCGGTGCCGCCCGTCGCCGCCGTCGCCGTCGCCGTCGCCGCCGCTCGGGGCGAGTGTCGGCTTTTGCGGGCGGTGCCGCCCAGTGCCGCCGTCGCCGTCGCCGTCGCCGTCGCCGCTGCTCGGGGCGAGTGGCGGCTTTTGCGGGCGGTGCCGCCCGTCGCCGCCGTCGCCGTCGCATAGATTGCACCTCATAGATTGCTCAAGCCAAGGCCGCCGCGCGTCGGGCCGCCCTCCGCGCGCATGCAGGCCTCCTTGGGGCTGAAGGGGACCAGCATTGGTCTCTGCGGCTTGAGGCGACGCAGTCCGCGTCGTAACATCGAGAGCTACTTTATCGAGCTCCTCCTCATCGCTGTCGGCTGGCACAGAGGAGCGAGGCTCGACTTCTTGGTGCCGTACCAGTACGTCGGTGGCGACCTGGGCCAGAGGATCTATGAGTTCGTCAGCCGCGGTGAGTGGGACGACGTCCGCGTCACAATTCTGGGGTCGCCTTGGTCCGCCACCGTCCCCACCGCCGGGCAACAGGGATCCTCCGGAGGTGGAGCTCGACACGGTGACGCTCGTGCTGAGGGCCTCAGCTCCTTTGACGGGCACCATACCGATGCCGCCAGCGCCACCTTCTCCGCCGCCGAGGCCGATCAAGGTGCTCCAGCGCTGGACGAGGTTCAACCCAGAGGTGCAAGACAGCGACACCAAGGAGCAGGAGGAAACCGAGAAGCTCTCTTACACGGCGTGCAAACGCATGAAGCGCAAGAGGAAGCTCGGCAAGTCGACGGACATGTGCATGCGCGAGCTCTCCGAGGAGGCTCCGCCGAGCCCGACACCACCGAGGTCCTTGGGGAGCGGCCTGGGCCTCGCGGCTGCGTCGAGTACTGCATCGGCGACTTCCACATCAGGGACGACGGGGACGGCGATCGTGATGAACATCGGCGACATGACGGTGCCTCTGCCTCCGCCCCCCCTGATGATGACGAGGGAGGAATATTCAAAAATCAACTTAACACCCGCGTCGTGCTTCACTTAAGACGATGATTTGAATACTCCTCCTGTACACCTCAAGACGATGGGGGCCCCCCGCCCCTCGCCGCATCGGAACTAAGCTGGTCCCCAAGCGTTGCGCTTGAGGAAGGAGGGCTACAGCTTGGCCCCGCCCGGCACTCCGCACGTCGTGGAGCAGAAGGCCGGGCCTGCCATCGTGAGCAGCAGCCACGGCCTCAGCATCGATGCGGAGACGTTCGTTCCTGGAGTTCTGTGCACGTTGGAGGAGGAGACCAACTAACCGATCGAGTCCAGCGTCGAGGGCGGCTGCGAGACCACCTTCGACGACGACGAGCCCACCTTCACGGACATCAAGGTCAGGTTCCACATTCCCGAGGGCGCTTTGCCCACAATCTCCGAGGGCACCTTCCCGCCCGTCATCAGCAACATTGAGGGCGACTTCCAGCCCACCTTCGGGGGCGACTTCCAGCCCGCTGTGAGGAGCGACTTCGAGGGCGACTCCCAGCCCCCGGCGACCCCGACAACGAGGGCCACATCGAGCCCAACGAGAGCGGCCAGAGGCAGTTCACGGAGGAGCAGCTCGCGTCTCTGGGTGCTGAGGCGTCTGGCGATCCTGAAGCGTTTGCGCTGGGCTCCTCGGACATCTTCGGTCGGTGCATTGGCAACTTCACCATCATTGTGGAGAACGTGTTCGAGCCGTTTTTGGTTCAAACCCGCGCGGCCCCGCGATTAGGAGCCTGGGCGTGAGCGGACCACTGGAAAAAAAGGCACCACATGGACTGAACACACATAGATTGCACAGCATAGATTGCATTACATTGGTTGCCGCGAGTCAATTCTCTTTCGCGCAAAAAAATCGGACTCCCCCTCCCTGGCTTTCTCGATCCACTTTTGCGCATTGCAATTTACTTTCGGTTCTGCCCCATCGTCCACCCAAAAAATAAGCTCGGACCATCCCAGCCGCGCCGGTAGAGACCCCCCCCGCCGTCCTCCCGACCAAAAAACTATGCGCGCACACTCGCTTATCAAAAATCAGCAGTGTTCGAAAATCCCTTGCGACAGCAAAAAAAACAAAATGCACACGCGCGCGTCGTCGCGCGCATACCGACATCCTTCGGAACAAATCGTTCGAAGAACGCTCGTTTTCGGAAGGAATTCAAAATCGAGCGTCCAACATACATATGCAAACACATGGTTTCGCAACAATGATTCTCGAACAAAACAAAACAAAACAAAACAACTGAAAACAAAAAAAAACTGCGCGCGCGGTTTTGCGAACCCCTTTTTCATTTTTTATGTGTTGAAACACGGTTGCCAACATCTTCAGAAAATGCAGCCACACGGGCTTCGCAAGCGCATGTCGGCACCGCTCGAACGCCTTCGCGCGCGTGCCGTCGCGAAAACCCTTTGCAACAAAGGCGACGAAATACACGCGCGCGCGTCGTCGCCGCGCATTGCATAACGATTCAAAACCGACTGCCCAAAAAACAATCAAAAAAACACTCGGCTTCGCAACATCCGCTTTCACAAAAAAGGCGTGCGCGCTATTGCGAATTCTTCAGAAACCATAGGGTTTTCAACATCTACATGAAATTCTGCCAAGCGGGCCTTTGGCGCCGCATGCCGACATCATTCGCACGCCCTTGCCCGCGAGCTGGGGGGGGGGGCCCGATCCGTGCCAAATAAAACCATGCGGGCCACTCTCGCGCGTCGGCCGCGCGCGCATGCCGATTTCTTTCCAAAACCCTAATCACCGATGCGAGGACGCCGTCATCGTGGGCGGCGTGATCAGCATCGGCGCCCGCACTGGCCGCGCCTTCGTCGGTGCGAACATCGTCACCAGCATCGCCACTACCGTAGTCGACGTTGCCATGATTCCGAACCGGCCCAAGTCGCCGATTCGCAGTGAAGTGCCCGCTGGGATGCGCCCAACGGTCAGCGCCACAGCGGCCGCGCCCGTGGCGCCAAACCAGCTGACCGCTGCGCGCGCATGCTGGGGATGGCGCGGCCGCAGAGGTGCACCAGCCAATGCCAAGCATGCCTCGCAATCGCCACCGTATAGGTTTTGCGAACCAAGTTGCGGATGGGTGGGTAGGATGTCTGCAAGAGCACTAATGAATAAAAACAAATTGCACCGCGTATGCTGCACCACATAGATTGCACCACGCAGACTGCACAGCATAGATTGCATTGCTGCCGCGCGCAAATTCTCCTTCCGAAAAAGAGAATAAACTCGACCCCCCCAGAATTAACAGGTCACGCTTTCGTATTCCAATGTACGTATGATTCTGCCCCACCATCCGTCCGAAATGTGAACTCGTATTATCCCAGTCGAACCCGTATCGCCTCCCCCGCCATCCTCTGCAAAAACATGTTGCGCGCACTCTCGTTTGTCAGAAATCATAAGTTTTCAAGAATCCCTTGCAACAAATTGGACGAAGTGCACGCGCGCATCGTCGCGCGCGCATGCCAAGGATTTCAAAATCAGGCTTGCAAAAAAAACACCCCCCAAAAAAAAAACATACAACAACACATGTTTTCGCAACACTGAATTGCTGAAACAACTTA